GGTCACTGGCTCGGTCCCTAAATATGAACTTGAGAACCATACATAACTGCCTGAAGACATGAAGCCAAAATAATTGGATAAAGCTATCTTTAACTGTAGTTATTATTCACTTATTTTTTTCTGCACATAATCCAGGATAAGGAAAAAGCATAAAAAAACCACATGTCTCAGTCACATTTATTGTAAACAAAAACTCACCATTACAATAAATCTTGAGAAGTGTTCAGATACAGGTAGCTGGACTTCAGGCTGCTGGGCAAATGACGCTATTGCCATCATCATGTATATTGCAATTTATGAAAACAAATGGACACAGAGTTCTTTTGAAATGAAATGCATTGTTTGACATCATATCAACAAGGGCTGATTGAAGTTAAGCATTTTTACATCAAAGTATGATGTAATCACCCAAATTAATGACACCATGACAGTTCTAAATTACATAACATTTAATGTTTCAGTTACAAGAACTGTAATTCTGAGTCTCTGGAGACTCTTTCCACAATACAAATTCATTTTCTATGAATTGCAAACATTTTAGAATAGAATGTGTCGGAGCTTTATAAAATCCAGTTACACTATCGGCAGCTCCATCGTGGTAGTCACAATTTTCCATCCAGTGTCACACACAATCTTAGTTTAACCAGCGGCCCGGAAGGCTTAAACAAAAATCCACTAAAAAACATAAAGAGAAGCAATGACTATTTGGCAAACAGTGAACCAGTGAATGTAGCAGATCCTATTTAATGTTATGCTAAACTTAGGTTAAAGCCAAAAGCTTTTTTAAACTACAGCAGAGAGGATGGAGCGCAGTGTGGTGTCTGTGAAGTTGTTACAGCTCACTGCTGGAATGCAGTGACAATGTCATTAATTTCAACATGTACAGGAATACAGTATTGATTACTGAAGTGATGAAAGTTATTAACAAAGTAAACAGGGACAAGAGAGAACAAAAATGCTGTTTTATAGGTCTGTAATTTATGATTCCTAGAAAGTGTCCTGAAAAGAATTATGTAATTTGATATTAATTATAGAAAAAATAGGACTCAAAAGAGAAGCTCCATTTAAACTTAAGTAAATATTCATTCACTATTCATTAATTATTGTAAACTTCAAATCTCCATTTGTTCATTATGTTTGTGTTAAATTTCTCTGATGTTCTACTGACCTGCCATGCACTGACTAAAATATCTAGGTTACATTAGCAGTTAAACATAAACATAAATTAAACTACAAGGAGTTTTTAATGGTTATGTTTATATATAACACGTAAACAAACAAGACCATCAGCAGAAAGATTGGCTATTTCTATGTAGTTATTGTTAATGCCTGCCACTGGGTCAGATTCAGTTGGATCCCCCTTGAAATCAATGAAACAAGGCTAGAATCAACAGAGAGTAATTGTAAGTTTACCAATTAAAAAAATAGTTTTCCCATAATTAGTACCAAATTGCATAATTCTTTCTAAGAAATGTCTTGGTAATTATGAGATTACAAACCCACTACTGAACATTATTTTAAAGCAAAGTGACTGCGTCTCCATCTGCTGTAATTCTGTCACCACACTAACATACAACAACCCTACTACATTAATTCAAAACATTACCGATTGTAGTTTTAAGGCAAAGAACAGCCAAACGCCCCCCCCCCCCAANNCAAACATGTGACAGCTGCTGCACCAGGGCAGGCTGGAGGGAGCCGTTCAGAACTGGGGCCTTTTCCAGCTCCACAAAATTAAAGGAGAACAGTGTTCAGTGACAGTAGGAGTATACTAGTGGGCAGTGCCCAGTGACAGCAGTCATGAATATTTTGGTGAAAGAAAAAGCCTCACACTTAACAAAGTCCTACACATGAATGATGTCTGTTGCACATCATTGATTTACAATTTACTATAAATTCTCAAATAGGGCCCAGCTAACTTTTATTTAGGCTACCCATACTGCAGTGAGAACCAGGTATTTATTTGGTTTATATGATCTCCGTTTTCTCATCTGCTCCAATTTTAATTTGCTGTTAATTATCTTTACATGGAGGCACATTATACTGAACATCAATATAAGTACATCTTAGCAAGATGAGTAAGTATAATGTCAGCACTAACTTCATCAGTACAAGAGAGTCGTGTTATACACCAGAAATACTGTTTTCAAACACCAATGAATTCATGTTTCATTTACTTCTTCATTTTTTTTTTATCCCTGATCAAGCTACTCTTAATTAGGTTTGAAAGTTACAGGTTTAATGTATCTTTTTTTATTAAATATCATCAGAGTAAAATGTGTCAATAATCCAATATCCATTTTCTAATAAACAATACATATAGCAACTTTTATTAAAAAAGCTTCTTCTGTAAGTACTCTTACTATTGATCAAAAACATTGCTCTGAAGCTCAACTCTGAGAGTTCTAATTAATATAGCAATTTCAGCCTTAAATTAATTTATGGTTAGTCCCGCCCATGTCTGGTTTAAGCCCCACCCATAATAATTTGTCAGTTAACAGATAATAGTGTACTCGCTCATTCCTACTGTCAATGAAACTCAACATTTCCAGCAGATAATTCACATTAAAAACAGTTTAATTGAAGTGGAAGCAAATAGAAATGATGAGAATGACATGACAGTGTTTTTGTACTGATGGAATTAGTGCTGTGGTATTGTACAATATATTAAATTTACCATTACAGTACAGGTAATTCCACCCCTCCGCAACATTTCTTAATTAGCTTACTTTAGCAAACAGCCTTTGTTCCAACAGTTATTATTGGAGCACACTTTATTTGAAAATGTACAGTAATTGAAACATTGTAATAACTAATATAAACCACACAGTGCAACAGCAAATACAGTGGAAATGCAAAACACACTAAGGTCATTCAGAAGAACATCCTTTCGATAATGACTCATGATGATCAGCGGTGCTTTTGGTTGACTCTATCACAGACCCTTTCTGTGTTTTGATCAGTCTTTTCAGAGAAGACACTTCTGCAGACAGGTCAGCAAGGCCCTCTTTCAGATACAGGTCCTTAGTATCTGAGTGTGCATAGGACGGTTTCTTTACATCCACAATGGTTTTGTTTGAGACAGGGCTTGGGGTCAGCCTGCTTCTCTTGCAACCATTCTGCAGTGTCTCTGTGCCACTTTTATGCCACTGCTCAGACCGGTGGGTCCAGTCTTGCATGTTGGTGACCTGTAATGACAAAGGGTACGGGGAAGACTGGGTGTACTCTAAAGAGTCCTGAGTGGTCTGGTAGCAACCTCCCTCTGAAATGCTCACGGGCGAGGAGGACTTTCCTGAAGACTCGTAATCAGTGTCGATGGCCTCCACTTTGATTTGGACGGTTCTGGCCTTGATCCGCAGTTTATGGGGCAAAGCTGAAGAACTGGCATCTGGCACTTTGTGTGTGGAGACAATGACACTTCTTGGATCAGCTACAGATGGTGTCAACCCTTTGGGGACCTGCTGCTCATCCTCACCATCTGATGATTTGCTAACAACACTGTCATCTGAGCTCCTGGGGGAGTTACTGGATGACCTGGTGATCTGCAGGAATGAAGCAGGTTGGGGGTAGACTCCAGACAAAGAGCTGGCCATGTAGTTTCTATATAGTTCATAGGGACTACTCCTCTCCTGTGCATAGCTGCCATTCTCTGCTGGTTCTTGCTTGACCTCTGCAGTCGTGCAGATACTAAAGCTAGCCTGAGTTGAACTACATGTCTCGGGCAAGTGAGGTGAATGCTTGATGACTGATATGCAGCTGCTGCGCAGATGAAGAGGCTCTAAGTCCCTGCTGGAACCTTGGCCAGCACTGGGTGGAACAAACTCCTGGTAGAGGTTGACAGCGGTGGAACTGCATAACTTCTGGACTTCTTGGGCATACGCTGCCGAGCTCACTAGACCAAACTTCAGCTTCAATGATAACAACTCAGCCTTGAGGGAGGCATTTTCCTCTCCGAGGGCCATCAGCTTGTTCTCAAGCACCATGTCATTTATGCGCCGCTTCTCTCTGGAGCGTTTGGCCGCCTCATTGTTTTTGCGACGCCTCTCCCAGTAAAGGTTGTCTTTCTTCTCCTCTGGGATAAATTCCCTTTTTCTGCGGCAGGTAGTTTTAGACTTGAACGGAACTGCAGAGGTTTTGTGGCCTATCAGGTCTCTGTTAGCCCCTTGTAAGGCCACAGCCAAGACCAGGGCATCCTCTCTACTGTAGGACTCACTGGAGTCCACCTCTTGCTTGATCGATTGCATATTGTCACTGTTGGCTACTGTCAATATGCTCAAAGGTCTTTAACTGAACACCATAATGCTTGTATGCAGCAATAGCAACTGCAGCACTGGATCAGTTCACTTCAGTTGAGGGAATCTGTGGAGTAACAGACATTAAGAGGGGTTTTAGATGTTAGTGTCAAGTTCGAACAAAGAAAACAAAAAGTAATGTATTCCCAGGGTAGGTACATCTCCCTGATTGACGATTCAAAACAGATCTAGATACATGGTTCACAACCTGATACAGAGATTATGGATTGATTTGTACTGTTGTAATGAATTCATATTGAGGTTTCATATTGATTTAGCTCAGACTCAGTAGGATTTGATATTTAAGAACCAGTATGTTTTTGTATGTAGTGGCATCTAGTGGTGTAGTTGCAAATTGCAACCAACTAATTACAGCTCTGCCCTCCAGTTGAGTAGGAAAAACTACGGTGGCCACAAAACTCGCAAAAGGTCCTATCTAGAGCTAATGTTCAACTCTACTCCTGGGTTTAAAATACTGGCTTAGAAATTACCTTAAAATGGCAATTTGGCCTATTTTGGGACTCCATGCTCCCAGACATTCAGAGGAGAAGGAACAAAGGACTACAGACAGCTGTAATGATAACACGTGGCCCGGCAAAAGCTCAAACATAGAATTTTAAATCCTCCTCCTCACCTATAAAGCTCTTCATGGTCAGGCCCCTTCTTATCTTGAAGAGCTCATAGTACCATATTATTACCGACCTCCTAAGAACCAACTACGTTCTCGTTAAAAATGCAAGGGCTTTTACTTGTTGGTTTTCCCTATATCCAAAAGTAAGAACAGGCAGCCCCGAAAAGCGCTTTCATGTTTAACCAAGCTCCTCTCCTGTGGAAACAGCCCTTCAGTTTGTGGTTTTCAGGAAGGGCAAACCAACCTTCCCACAAATTTTTTAAAAGTAGGCTTTTAGGAAACAAGACAATCTTTAGAAGTGCTTTCCTTTTTTTTACAACTCTTTGTAATTGTTTTTTTGTTTCCCTCTTTATAAACAAGTGCAATTACCATGGGGTCAATCTTAACACAAAAAATAACATTGAAAAAATTATTCTTCTAAAACAATCCTTCACAATAAAAACTGGGGTTTTTAACTGGGTGGTTTAATTT